AGCGATTCAACCGGACCCTGGAAGAGCACTTGCGGAAAGTAGTGGACAAGCATCAGGATGATTGGGATGTGCATATACCGCTTTTCCTGATGGAATATCGGTCCGCCGTGCATGTAACTACAGGGCAAACACCCGCGTGGATACTGTTTGGTAGTGAACTACGGTTGCCCAGTGATTTAAAATTTGGAATAACTGGCGATGCGAGAAAAATTGGGAAGGTAACGTCTACCGATCTCGAGGAAGAGCTAAGAGATGTACATGATCTAGTGAGACAGCGAACTCAAGTTATGAGTGACAAAATGAAGGCCAGGTATGACAAGGCGATGAACTCCGAAGGTTTCCAAAATGGAGATTTGGCTGTACAATCCACAACGGAAGAGGGGTTTGTCCCCAAAACTTCAATGTAATTGGGAAGGTCTATACAAGATAATCAAAAGACTAAACGACGTAGTGTATCGAATCCAAGCCGTTGGGAGTCCAAGAAACAAGATGAAAGTGGTCCACATGGAGAGGCTTGCTGAGTTTAGAACAGCGAATGTGTCTGATCGGGACGATCAGACTTAGGTGGAGGGCAGTGTTGCGAAATGTCAGATGAAAGAGAGAAGTCGATAACTAGTACATTCTAGAACGATAAACCGAGAACCTTCGATAGCGAACAACTCGATTATTCTACACTTTCGTCTACGAGCAGCCGACTGCTATATAAGGGCGACACTCAGCTGCCAAATCAAGTTAGTTACAAAGTGAACTCGTTGGCGTTAACAGTGGTAAAGTCGTAAAGTAAACGCGTTTGGAATTACATTTAAGTAGAGTAAATTGTGGAAGTTTATGCAAGTGATTGTAACTAGTAGAGTGCATTGTTATTAAAGTGAGTATTACTGAGTAAATAAAGGACATTAGAAAATTTCTTTGTATCGAAAGAAACTGCAAATTAAGTTGGCGAGTTTTATTTAACAATCCAGAGATCGTACCCGAAAGATTCAGAAAATCATCCAGGTTGATTTAGCAAAATCGTAACAATATGAACTCGCCTTTAGAAAAATTACTTGTGTTCGTTAAGTTGGTAACATTCGAGGTTTAGAGCACGCCAATGAACTCGCTACTCGCTGAGTGTAGCTGCCATCTTTGGCTTTTCCTTTTTGAAAAATAAAGCAAATTGGATTCGTATTGCTGTTTATAAAATTATAAGTTATAAAATTAATGATTAAAAGTAACATTATTGTGTGTATATTAAGTTGTATTGCAGCTATTGCTTGAAATAAAAGGATGGGTGTAATTTACAGCTTACACAACGCTGTCAAAACTAAACTTGAAAATGTTATGTGAAGTGAGTTATAATTTAGTTCCTCTCTTTGGTAAACATGAGAATTCTATTATACTACATAGTTTCACGTCCAAATATATACATACTATCTTAGTATTTTTTTGTGCATTGCTAGTGCTGGTACCTATTTATTTAAAATAAAGGATGAACACAACCTTTGTTGAAAGCAAATCACCACCCCTTAAAGTGTCTTAAAAAATAAAGTTGCCAAGAAAATAACATTTTACGTTTATTATAATAATATTAAAGAGGAATCTGTTGAAAAATATTCCATTTTAATATTGGAAGAGAGCGGATGAAAGGACGGACCACTTACCAAATTCGAAAGTCAATAAACTATCCCTGTTCTAAAAAACATTAGAAGATGCTGAAAGGTAGAAAATCATTTGAATAGACGAATATTTTTTAAAACGAATGGGTTGACTTTAGTTTGGAGCTTGTGCTTTTATTATGAAATGTTCAGGATTGGTAGTAAGAATCCTACAATTACCAAAAATATCGATTTTCATTATCAAATTTATAGTTTAAGAGTTATAGACATTTGAAGCTGCAATTTTTGTATTGTGAGAGCCTGCTTCTGTTTTACTTATAAACACACTAACAACCCATGGCTAGGCAGGTGCTGCCACTCCATGAAGTAATCTCAAAATTAATATTAATATCTAAGCAAAATAAAATGATAATTCAGCATAAAAGATTTTGTGAAAACAAGATTTTTACTTGGAAATACTGTGCAAGGCGAAGCCTATGTTGGTTCGGCCCAGGATTGCAATCGAAAAGCGGTCGAAGGCTCCCAACTTACAGAGGAGTTAAACTTAAAAATACTGTACAAAGCGAGGCCGGTGTTAGTCCGAACCAGGCTCACATTCACAACGTGTCTGAAGGCCCCCAACTTACAGAGGAGTTTTTCTTAAAAATACTGTGTTTGTCTGGCCCAGAATACTGTGCTAGGCGAAGCCGGTGTTGGTCCGAGCTATATTTTTATTTGAGTATTATTCGCTTCCTTTTTTTATTTTTCTATTTATTGTCACTTTGTGGATTTTTTGAAGTGGCAACGCCCCTCTAGCCATGGGTTATTATTGTGTTTATAAGTAAAACAGATGCAGTCTCTCTCCATACAAAAAGTGTAAATTTAAAAGCTGAATGATGTGACTGCCTTCCGTCGCGCTGGAGAAAGAACCCTGGCCAGTCTAACACCAACTCCGTCTGGGCAGTAATCTTAAATGAAACACCTTTGGGCCGGACGAACACCAATTTGTAATTGTAGCAGAAAATTATTTCCCAAAGTAGATTTTGGTAAATGTTGCGGCTGTGACAAACATTCGTCCTATAAAAATCCTGGTAGTTCCAGTACATAGACCCGACTGTCGCAGGAACTTTTAAATTTTAGTCGCCTCTTACAACCCATTACATACTTTTTTTTCATATATCATAATAAAAAAATAATCATTTATACATTCATATTTTATTATAGCAAATTTACATAAACAGAACATCTTAAAAATTACACTTTTTCTA